AACCCCAAAACCCCAAAACCCCAAAACCCCAAAAATCTGACTGTTATGGAGGCACTTTTTGATATATAAATTCATCCAATTTCTTATTCAAAATGATCCCAAAATTAGCAGCTTTGAGTTCGAGGACTGACTCATCGGTCCAAAGTCAATACTAAAGGAAGATTTTAGGGATGAATAATTTTTCTGTAAACTTCTGCACAGATTTTACTACAAATTAAGCAGTTGCCATCGCTTTTTGTGATTTAAGGTATGGCTTTAACACATAATTTCGATACCAAGAGCCAAGCTACAAAATTTGTTGCTTATTTATACTCACAGGCCTGCAAAATTAGCTTATCTTTGTCAGTTCTGAACATTGGAACGTTGCTCAAACTTCTTTCTTACCAACATTTGCTAAAAAAGCGACTTCCTCAAGAACATACTGAGGGAAGTATCACTGCTAGTTCCAAGGGAAACCAGAGTTTTGGGATACACCTTCTTTTGAGAAGTAACTTCACGGCAAGAGGTTTGAAAGTAGGGATTATTTTAAAAATTAATCCTGATTAGCCACACACTTGAAGGTCCTTCTTACATCCTCAATTCATACTTTAGACATCTGAAGAATGTAGAGTAGAGAGACAGATTTTAGAGGTTTTATATCCACCCATTTTTGCAGAAAGAACGACATTTCGACAACAAGCATAAGATCTCTAAAGCCCTCTCAGTCTTGGAAGTTTCTGGATAAATTCCAGATTTATTTTAAAGTACGAATTGAACGATTTAACTTATTTCTTAAATGTCTTGAAGGGATTAATTGAAAATAAACAGGCTTCTAAATTTCTGTTCGCTCTTCTTCTGTGGTGGTGGTTTATCATACCCATTTTTTATAGAGTTTGAGGCTTCCATTACACCTCCTTTGAACAAGTAATCAAAGTTCTCTCTTCATCTCTTGTAGAGGGGGCGTTGCTTGGGTAGAAGGTTTAGAGTGAATGCCTTCTTTAAGTCTCTTTTTAGGATATTTCTAGTCTTAGTCCGGGCAGTCATGATTCTCGAACGTTGCTTGAGGTTTCTTGATTTAGGTTTGTTATTTAGACTCTGTAACTACCAAGGGTTCTGTATTCTTTAAATCTTGACGTTTGATCGCTCTTGAGGACTTTCACATCAGTTCTCTTTGTTTATTGTTGAGTTTTAACTCCTCCTCTTTTTGAAAATTACTTCTGCTCCTGGTCGCAGATTCAAAGGCGAAGCATTTTGGCTGTGTCTGAGCCAAAGGAGGTGACCTATCCAGCACAGGGCTTAGGCCAGTATGTTTACTGAGCTCTGCTCGCCAGTCCCGAAACAATGTCTCTGAGATACCTTTCTGAAGGAGTCTCTTCTTTCCTCGTTTGAGTTTCAAACCGGGTTGTATATCATTGGTGGCTATTCAAATATTTTAGCTTAAACTATGAATTCAGGTTACCTAATTTTCAGTTGTTTGGAACATTTCCGTGGTTTTTAGTTGATTTCAAGAATCTTTTGGCGAGGACTGGGGCTATTACTTTGTTTCTGAGCCCTTCCTGCCTTCTTGAGGGAATATTTCTCAGTTCGGACCCTAGCCAGGCTTCTGGGCTGGCCAAAATTTAAGCTCATTGGCTTATGATTCTGTTTTAAGAATTTTGTATTTGAGGTAAAATTAGTCTATTTAGGTCAGATTCTGCTGATTTGTTATAAGGGAATAGTAACATACATTAAATTTGGAACTATTCTGGCTATTTTTGCTCTGATTTATAGGGTTTTCTGGAGGGATTTGTTCAATTTTGGTTCAATTTTCTTGGGTTTTTGATTGAGACTATTTTGTAAAAGAATGTATTTTACTAATTTCAGGTTAAATGTTCTTTGTTTGCGTGGAGGATTAGGCTTATTCATAAGTATAAATAGGTCTATAGCTAGAATTAATCTTGAATATCGCTAAGTTTTGGTAAGTTACTTGAAGAGAAGCTAGGATCAGCCATCTAATTTTCAATTTTTATTAAAATAAATGGGGTTTTGGGGTTTTGGGGTTTTGGGGTTTTGGGG